TGCTGGGACCGGGACAGGTCCGTGCTGGGCCCGGGACAGGTCCATGCTGGGATAGGGACAGGTCCATGCTGGGCCCGGGACAGGTCCGTGCTGGGCCCGGGACAGGTCCGTGCCCGCCCGGAGCCGCTGGAAGGGAGGCAATGCCTGACTCAGGTGCAGCAGGAAAGGCTGAGCCCGGGAAGCATCCCCGGCGGGCAGCAGCGGGAGGAGAACGCTTGGGTTTGGAAATTTCTGAGAGAAGAAAACCCCTTTCGCTCTCCCTTTGTCAATGCTCTTCCTCCTCAGCCTGCCCCACGGCGTCCTTTCCCCAGCTCCGGGGAGCAGCCGGGATGAGCTGGACTGCGGCAGGGCAGAGGAGCAGGGGCTGGAGACGGGGTGGGCTGAGCATCCTGCAGCCCTCAGCTGCCTGCTGTGCCCCCTCTCCTTCCCACTGCTGCCACTTAATTAATTGTTCCTATTGCAATGTGTAGCATCATTTAGTTTAGGCAACATCTGGCACCTTTCAGGTGAAAAGCTGATCAAGTTCAGAGATCTCGATCCTGAGGGAACTTACCTTAATAAACATGAAGCCAGTAAGGAGCAGGAGAGGCTGACACCAACAGCAAGGGGTTTAGTCTCAGCTTTGGTGGAGTATTTTGGAATTGAAATGGTTTTGTGGGGAGGAAAATTGTTAGAAGCAAAGAGTAGAGCCCTGTGTATCTGATATTTACCCATCCTAGGTGGGTGGTGGCCCTGGGCTGCTGCCGTGCCCTGCAGTGGGACAGAAGTGTAAAGTGCCTGGTTTAGGTGAAAGCACTGAGGCAGGCATGGGCTGAGGGGTGCAGCACACAGGGTGAGCTCGATGCATGGGATGAGCTGTGATGATTGTGACGTGAGCTGAAGGTGTGGGACAAAACCCTCGAGCTGTCATCCAGATCCATGAGGAACTCACCAAGCAGCTCCTGCTCCTTCAGCAGGTGCCAGCTGATTTTCTGTGGCCAGGGACGAGCTGTGGCACCTCACTGCATCCCAGAATCATTCTCAGGGGTTGTTCTTCAACAGAGAATCGTGGAATGGCCCAGACCTGTCATTCCTGAAAGAGTGATGGAGCTGACCCGTCAGCTCTCCTGAGCACTGCCAGAGCATGGTGAGATGTGCTCACCTGTCCGTGCCCTGACACCGGGACAAATGAAACCCGTGGGAAAGTGAATTAACAGAATCAAAGCCCTGAGAAGCTTTCCTTTGGCATCAGCAAATATCTGAGGGAGGACAGTGAGCAGTCATAGACCTTTCCTTTGAAAGTGAGTCACCAAATGTCACCTCAGGCTGGCACCTGTGCCACAGGGAAATGCTGGTGCTGTCTCCCAGCTGGGATTTAGGGCACTCAGTGGGTACCAGCAACACCCAAAATGGGAGAGAACAGACCAGAGCTATAAATAATGCACAGTTTGGGGGACAAACTGAGGGGATTTAGCAGCACTGAGGTCTGAGTTTGGTGGTTCTGGCGTGCCCAGGAGGATGCATCAGCCCTGGCATGCTGGAGTGACAGCATCTGCTGTAAGAGGACACCACAGAGAATTCAGAAAGTTTCACCAACAAGAATCATATAATTCCTCAGAATTTTGACAAACAGACTCAGCACAGTTTCAAGTTGGGTTTATTTATGGTCATCACAACCAATTTCCACAAAACTCACTACTGAGTGTCAGTAAATTGCTCAATACACTCAAGAACCTTTTTCTATTCAGCAACCACATATCTTGCACAGAAACATTTTTACTGATAAGGCAGAAAATATCATCTCAAAAGGAAACACAGATTTCTGAGGCCTGTCATACCTGCTAGGACCTGTTCTTGGAAGCATTTCCCACACTGTACTTCTCATTTCAGCCAGATCCATCAGTGGCACAGCCCTGAGACCGAGCCCAGGTTTATGCACCAGAGTCCTCCCAGCCAGCTCTCAGCTTATTCCCCACATTCCCTAAACAAAATATCTGTAATTTAGACAATCATTTTATGCCATGATCACAGCTTATGTGTGCCAGCAGGAGAAACCCTTGTGGGCTTTCCCTGGGAGCATCCTTTGGTAGCAGCGAGGGCGATGCTGATTTCATCAAACTCGTTATTTCTGTCTTAATGAAGACTCTGCTGATGTCCCTGGCTGGCAAAGCTCTCCATGCTTGCCTGAATGCAGCTGGAACTGCTGGGGAGCTGCACTGATACAGTGATTTTTTTTTGTCCCTCTCATCCCTGCAAAGCCCCTGCAGCTCCTCAGCACCGGCCCGTGGGTAATTAACGCCGCCCGCTAACGAGATTTCTCCATCCAGTCCAGGAGGATGTCCAGCTCCCCCAGGGATTTCATGGCTGCAGATGTGACATTCAGCTGAAATTATATAGAAAGGAATGAGCTGTAAGCAGACACCATCAGTACAAGGCAACATAAAGAGAATTTAAATATCTGTGCTAATTAGCAGGCTCAGTCACCAACTCACCCCTTCGTAGTTTGCAAGTATTTGCTTGAATTTCTCCGTGGATTCCTCCCCACACAGGCAATTATTCTGCTCACGCTGGAAAAACAAGATTAATTCATTAGTCTGGGTAGTTCATTTTTAAAAATAAGATTTCAATTTCTGATTTTGCTGGGTATCATAGACTGAGACACCATGGAACTGTGGGAAAGGCTGCAGGTCCCTAAATCAGGCTTTAGCTCCCTTGACAGACACAAGGACAGGATAAATTTTGGGCCTTAGGACCAACAGGAGAGTTTGCTGGTGAGTGGGCAATTATAAAAATCTCTCAGTGGACAGAACACTCTTCACACCACTCTGCTTCGTATTCTCATTAAAAACCACTTATGGAAATAGAGACTTTGCAGCTTTATAAACCTCCCAGGTTGGTTTATAGATGAAATATTAAGAGATGCACACTGGAGCAGAAGCCAGCACTTACACACTGCCCGAGCTTCCTCCTCGTGCTGAGGAAGGAGTTGGCAATGCTGCTGATTTTCCTGTTCACAAACGAGTCCTCGGTCCTGCAGTGCTTGAAAACCTTGTCCACGTAGAAGGTGAAGAGCTGATAAGTGATGCAGCATCTGTCTGAAGACTTAGAAAATTAATTTAATGACTACAAGTTCTTCCAAAGTGTGCAACCTGCAGTTACTCTCTGGGATAAAGCATCTCTGACAGGAAACTGGTGGTAGCTGAGCACAGCAGGACAGTTTGACTCAGAGAAAGCTTCTTCAGTGGTGCTTGATTGAAGCTGATAAAATAGATGGGAAATCATTTTAGGCTGGTTTTCCAGGAGATCCATCCTCAGCAAGTCTCACAAAATAAAACCAGCTGATTTTGCAGCTGGGTATCAGAGGCTGAGAGCCAGACAGTGGCTCCTGCCCAGGGCTTTGGGGTGTGAGAGAGCTGAAAATTACTGATTTATGATAGATTGCACTTCTAAAGGTCACATTCACCTGCTTTTGGATCCAAGGAGGGCTCCCCAGCCAGGGCCACCTACCTACCTTGACCTTGTGGAGGGAGTGAGGGTGGGACAGGATGCTCAGGGTCCGGATGGGGTCTCTGGATTGCTGCGGAGAGGACGGAGATGGGCATGGAGCTGCAGGCTCCCGAGGGGCTCCAGGGGCTCCCCAGCCCCCCAGAGCCTGGCAAATACTCACAATGTTGGCTTTAATTGCTGTGAAGCCAGCCCTGATCTCTGTCATGCTGATGGAAACCCTGCAGGCTCCAAAGTGGAAGATTTTGTCCCCAGATGTGGGCATCAAATTCATCCAGCAGGACACAGAGAAGAGGCAGAGGAACAGGGGGGATCCTCTCATGTCAGCTGCCTGGGAGAGCTGCCCAAGCAAGAGAATATTCCTCCTTATTTTCCTAATTAACACAACTGTGATCCATATTAAAATACACATATTTTATTTAAAACTTGTACACCTGTATTAAAAACCCCATACTCATTACTATCTATTACCCACTTCTTTTTGCTCCCCATGAGCAAGAGAAAAAAAATCAAATATTTAACTGAAGAGATCAAAAAGAAATGGAAAAATAAAAAAAATCAGTTAAAAAAGCATCTAAATAAACAGAGTTCTTCTGAAAATATGTTATCAAGAAAATAAATACAGTGAAATTAATTTTTTAAGTCTAATGACACAGAAGCAACAGGAGGTAACTGAAAGTAACAGATCCCAAAGCCTTATCCCAAAAGAAACCAGCTTCCTTCTGGAATAGCATAAGCCAAACACAAGTTTTGTAAGCACTGAAAATTAAGGTTACTAATGAAAAAAAAATATTTCAGATATAGGAATAGAAGGGAAAACCCAAAAGGACACAGAGCAAAGGGATAAATTCAGTATCTTACCTTGCTCTTTGGTGTGGGCTCACCTCTCTCACCAACATCTGGCCTGGAGAGCACCGAAGGAGGCGTTTTTATCCCGGTACCAGGAGGAAATACCTCTTGGATTAACTTTTGGGATTTTTCTTGCTTTTCCCAGCACATATTTCCCTCTGTAATTTGCTGAATTAATGAGTTCATGCAAGGGACCAGCTCTCTCTCCCACAGGTGTTTCCCTCACCTACGGAGGCGGGAACTCTGGCATCAGGGCGTGGGTTTTCTTTTGGGAAGAGGGATGTGAACTCCCAAAATTAGGGACCGTCCTTGCGGTCACATCCCCAAAACGCCCCAACATGGAGCAATGCTGGCAATCCCCTGCTGGAGAGGGGTCATTCCCAGCTCCTCGCAGAGGTGTTGGGATGTGGGAAGCTCAGTGGCATCACCCCGGTGGTCCCAGAACTCCAGGACTTCTGGCAATGGACCTGCTGGAAGTGGTGAAACTCAAGTCCAGGGTTTTCTCCATCATTGTTCTGGCAAAAGTGGCCTTCCTCTGCCACTTTCAGGGAATTCTGGTCCCAAATTCAAGGAATCCTCCTACCAGGTTCAGGGAATGCTGTTCCAAATGTCCTCAGTTCCTGGACTCTTCTCCATCCTGTGTCTGTGGTGTTGGAGACGCACAGAAACACGAGGTCAGGGGTTTTGGAGGACACAGGTCCCATCCTGCTGGCAGAAGAAGTGATTTCCAGGGTCAGAGGGGATTCAGGTGATCAGCCCAAACCTGTCACCCTGCAGAAGGACAGAAATTCCACTGACTCCTTCCCAAGCCCCCAGCCCAGTGGCTCGGTGACGTCCGTGACCTCCTCACCACACCACGAGCTTTCCCTGCTGAGCAAAGCTGCTGCAGCCAAGGAGCAGAGATGTTCTCCTCCCAGCACTGCAGGCCAGGCTGTCCCCAGGGCAGCAGGGATTGTCAGCTGGGGCACGCTGTCACACGGATGTGGCAGTGCTGGTGCAAACCCCTGTGCTGTTGGCTCCAAGGTTGGTTTGGATGTTCCTGCAGCCCCTTTGGAGACAGCTTCATTCAGCCTGCAAACAAAAATGTGCAGCTAAATGAACTCCCTGGAGTTTGTGGGACCAGGGGGAATGGCCAGCTGGACTTGGAGGACAAAGTCACCCCTCTAATGCCAGAGGAGGGGTGGATGCTCTGGAGCAGCAGCCCCAGCGTGTCCCTGTTGCAATGCAGGTGTACCTCGTGCCTGTGGGCCAGGGCTGTCCTGCACGTATCTGCTGGGTGACTAATTAATTTATTGATAACCAAGCTCGGTCTTGAGCAGAGATCTGTCACTAGGCAAATGGATTTTCTGCCCAGGCTAGTCAGGCTCTTGCACACAGGGTTGCTGGAAGTGCCCCAGCTGAGCCCAGCGTGCCTCCCTCACCTTGCTGGAATCAGCCAGAGGGCAGGACCCAGGCTGCAGCAGGTTGGATTTGCCCTGGCTGAGGTGTTGGAGGGGTCTGGGCTGTGAATCCTCCCCCAGATCCCTGCAGCTGCTGCCTGGAATTGCAGCAAAAGTTTTGCTGGAAGCAGAGGAAGCGGCAGAATTCCCGGGAGCCCGGTGCACACCCAGCAGGGTGAGGAAACAGAGGAAGAGACAGTGAGTTCTTACTTCATTATGTAAATGGCAGATGACTTGAAAGGATTTCTTTCGGTTTTTTTTTTTCCTTTTGGTAACTGAACTGACGCCCAGGATGGGTCAGCCAAGTGCCAGAAGGCAAGGAGGAGACGTGGCTGTGGGGGAGGTGGAGGAGAGATGCTGGGATGATACAGGAGCAGGAGGGAAATGTTGGATTACCGGGGTCCAGGGCCTTCTGCAGGTCTCTGGATGTGTCCCTCAGCCTGTCTATCCTGTCACTAACCTTCTGCAAAGCAAAAGAAACAGCAGGACCCTCAGCACAAGAGCAAGGAGGAGGAAAACCCCATCGGGGTGGGGAACAACCCGGAGAGATTTTCGTTTTGGGGTTTTACTGGGTGTGAAATGGTGGTGATGGAGCACCCCAAGTGCTGGACGTGGGGGATGTCCAAAGGCTTCTCATTTCAGGGCAGAGGGGGTGGAACCAGCAGGGTTCCCAGAATGTTTTAGGTTGGGAGGGACCTCACAGACCATCTCATGTCCCATGGCAGGGACACCTCCCACTGTCCCAGGCTGCTCCAAGCCCTGTCCAACCTGGCCTTGGACACTTCCAGGGGATCCAGGGGCAGCCACAGCTGCTCTGGGCACCCTGTGCCAGGGCCTGCCCACTCTCACAGGGAAGAATTCCTTCCCAAAATCCCATCCATCCCTGCCCTCTGGCAGTTTGAAGCCATCAGCACACATTGGACTAAACCCAGATGGAAGCAAATTCTCCCAGCGTGGCTCTCCCCAGGCTTTCATCAACCTGCCAGCTCTAGCAGCATGAGAACACCCTCAATAAAACAGCAAATCATCCCTCTTTTGCTCTGGGAAGGAAGAGGGAAAGAAGGAACAGGGATTTCTGAAACTCAGCCCTGTGACGCTGCAGATGAGCTCAGTAAAATGGGAAGTGATTCCCGCAGGCACTCGGGGCACAGTTAAACCTTTGGGGCACTGCAACGCTGGGAATGGGGCAGGGAAGTTGCTCCTCTCCCCAGGAACTCTTCCAGCTAACTGGGACAGCTCCTGCCTCGGGTTTTATGGCAGGCACGTTGTGACAGGGCACTCCAAGGCTAGTGATGGCCCAACTAACAAGCAAAGGCAGCAGAGAGGGTTGTGAGCCAGCTGCCCTGGTGCTCAGGAATTAAAACTCAGCCCTGGGTGTCATTAACTCGGCTGAGAAATCATCTATGCAAAGTGGCAAGCGGCACATCCCGCATCGCACAGGCACAGAAGGGGCTGAGCCAGGACCAGGGACAGAATATCCCCAGAGAAATTGGAGAATAACCCTGGGAGGAAGGAGCCTTTGGAGCTCGGGATACCCCCGGGGCAGCTGGAGAAAAACGCTGGGAGGAAGGAGCCTTTGGAGCTGGGGATATCCCCAGAGAAGATGGAGAATAACCCTGGGAGGAAGGAGCTTTTGGAGCTCGGGATATCCCCAGAGAAGATGGAGAATAACCCTGGGAGGAAGGAGCCTTTGGAGCTCGGGATATCCCCAGTTTAAATGGAGAATAACCCTGGGAGGAAGGAGCCTTTGGAGCT